AAATAATCTTTCGTTTGTCTGCAAAAGAAGTTTTTGGCTTAAGCTAATCAAAAAAAAAAAGAATTTCAATTTGAAAGAAACCCTTTGATGACGGGCAAAATAAAATTGGTAAAGTTTCAAAACAAGTGAGGTTAGAAAAGCTTAAACAAATTTTATTCCAAAAAAATATAGTTTTTTTAGTTAAAAAATGAAAAACTAAATTTTTTAATTAAAAAATGTGTAAATAAATTTTTTTTTAATAAATTAATTGAATTAATGAAGTAAATTGAATGAAATTCAAAAAAAAGCAGCAAGGAGCGACAAATACAAAAAAACTGCTGCACAATATCTTCGATTTTTTGCTGAAAAAAAAACCAAGAACAAATAAACAAATACTGTTAGGCAGTATATTACCATATCTATTAGTTCTACTTGAAAGCAATGAAAAAAATTTAAAAATAATAACAAAAAATAAAAGTACAAAATTTTTTTCATGGAAAATCAAAGCAATTTTCGCAAATTCACCGCTCACCGCATGCTCGTATGTATGTAAGTTTGTACATGTGCAACATAGGTAAAATACACACTCATTTGGATGAGTAATGAGGCACAAAATTAACACGAAACCTCAAAAATATTTTACGCCTTCTTGATTTCCGTTTTCTTGCACAATCGCTCAATGCGCGGAAAGCCTCAATTTTTTCTACTTTTTTTTTATTATTTTCTATTTTTTTTTTTCTAAACAAAGTACCACAGATGATAGAAAAAATAAATATGCTTATGAAGTTTTTCCGTTTACTTTTTAGATGAAGCGCCGGCCCCATAGAACAAGAACAAAAACACACAATATACAAATATATTTCATATATTTTGTTTATATTTCTTTTATTTTATGAAGTGTTGACGTGAATTTTTTAGAAACTAAGCCTGAATGTAGTTCAGTAAATATTTAATATATTTTTTCTTTAATTTTTAGAAACCACAAGCTAAAAAATGTTGTTGTTTGCAAATTTTGTGATGAATTTTTTTAACGCTGCTCGCTTTAAACACTTCCTATTTATCAGCTGTTTTTAATATCACTTCCTCTTTGGCAACACTTTTCATTGTCACGCTGAATTCTAATTTGTTCGAGTTTCCTATTATTTATATGTTTAGATAAAAGTAATACTCTCACATACTGCTATGTTTATTATTTATATGTTTAGATAAATATGTTTTTTTTTAAAGAAATTCGTGTTCACTTTGCTGTTTTTAATTTGCTTTGCCACCTATTGTAATTCATCATTTTTCTGCGGAAATCAGCACTATTTTCACTTTCATTTTTTTTAAATCACTGACTCACCATTAGAAAAATATGAATGAGTAGTTTTAGGAAATATTAGATTTCCAAGATTTAATGCATATATTTTTTATAGAATTGTATTGTTCGGTACTGTTAAGTTTTCTTAGAGAAATTTATGGCGTGGTAAAAGCTTTGAAAATCATTTCCTTTATCAGTGAAAGTCTTTTAAGTAAGTGCAATCTAGTATCACCCATATTGCAAGCAGCTTTCTTGTGTGAAAGCTAATTTCGAAAATGAAATGAAAGCTCAAATTGGCAAAACGCTTTACCGTAAGTTTTTTTGCACTGAGTTTTATATTAGCATACTGTACTATTTTTTATACGGTTTCGATGAAAGCTTTTGGCCAGTTTTTTGAGAGTCAAAACCTTTGAAAGCTTCAATAATTTTATATTATTTCTAAGTTTCGTAGCATTTCATAATTGCATTTTAAAATATGCTATTTAAGTCTTATCGTCAAAGACATTTTAATTAATTATGACCTTGACTTAAAATAAGAACTCTAAATAACCAACCTGTAGGTACAGAAAGCCATATATGAAGAACAACATTTAAATCATATTTCCATAATGGTCAAAAATTATTTATATTTATCTTCTTATCATCAAAAATAATAGTTTTATTCCTATTCCAGTTTTTTGGACACCTACAAATAATATTATGCATTCAAACATAAGTATGTATGTCAATTTTCGCATCTAAAAAAATTAACACACGCGCCTGTGATAATCTATGCAAAAATATCATAAAATAACGCTCCAAATATATATAAAAAACTAGTTTTTGTATTTTTTTATGATTTATGTGGGTGTATGACGAAAGCACATTTAATTGAGCAGCAATAAACAAAATCAAACCATAAAAAAATGAAACTAAATTAAATACAGTACAAAATAATAAAATAAAATAAAATAAAATAAAATAAAATAAAATAAAATAAAATAAAATAAAATAAAATAAAATAAAATAAAATAAAATAAAAAAAAAATAAAATAAAATTTAGTTTAATTAAATAAATAAAATTACATATATAAATAAATTTAAAATATTTAAACAAAATAAAAACATAAAACAAAATAAAATAAAAAAAATATACAAAAAATAAAAAAGTAATAATATAAAGTAAAATCAAATATTATTCATTAAATTAAAAAGTTCAAAATATGAAACAAAACTAAATAAAGTGAAATAAGGTAAAACAAAATGAAATTTAGTGAAATTTAATAAAATAAGAAAATTAAAATGAAAAAAAAATAAAATAACATTAAATAAAATTAAGTACTTAAATATAATATAATATAAATTAAAATAGATAAAAAAGTAAAAAAAAATGCAATCAAAAATAATAAATATTTAAAATAAAATAATTTAAATTGTATAAAACAAAATGAATTAAATAAAATAAAATAAATTAAAATAAGCTAAGATGAAATAACTCAAATTAAATAAATTATATAAAATGCATGTAGAGTAAAATATAAAGCACGGAATAAAATAAACTAAAATAAAATAAAGTAAAATAAAAAATTAAACAAAATAAAATAATAAATAAACAATAAGAGATAATAAAATAAAATTTTATAATTTAAAAATAAATAAAATTTATTAAAATGTATATATATTGTATTCAAATAAAATAATTTAGTGTATCATATTATTTATCAAAATAAAGGAAATCAATAAAAGGAAAAAATGAAAAGTTTTTAAATAATTTCAAGAAAATCAGACAAAGTTCATACATAAATAAAAGATTTTATTTACTTTCATATTGTTTGCAGTTTCAAAGTTCATTTAATGTAACTACATTACTGTTCAAATTCCGCACACAGCAACAGTAAAATAAGGTTACTTAGCGATTGAGAACGTATTATTGTGATTCATAATACGCCTGCATACTCATATATTAGCTTGTAGCTCTAGTAGCTAGCATAGCGATTAGGCAGTAAAACAGTGAGTAAAGTAAATGCATTTAATGCCGAATTTCAAATTCGTGGAAATGAAATTGTACATTGATTTATTTATATATGCAATTGTGTGAGTATTTGAAGGCGGGCTAGTTGTTTTGTTGTTTTTGCTTTGCCATTGAAAGTATTTATAGAAATAGAGCGAAAACTATTTAAGTAAAAAACGAATGAAAGAAAAAAATAAATAATATGCAACTGAATTAACTGAAACTTAATTGATATATGATAATGCAATATAAATTAAGAAGGATTTGATAAAAAAAATTTGAGAAATTTAATAAAAAAAATTATATTACTTTTAATACGCTGAGTAAAATATTTTCTATTATTTTTATTTTAAGCATTTATTTACTTTTTTCTGAAGTATAAAAGTTGTTGAATATTTTAGTTACCATTTTTTAGAATATTTTTTTTATAAGTGCTTATTTAAATATTTAATTTTTGTATATATTATTAATATGAAATTTTTTTTGTTTCATCACTTTAATTGTTATTTCATTGTTTAATGCATCGTCTCAGCGGTAATCGCTTCACGAACAATATAATTACTTTGTTGCCATTGCGGTTTACTTTCAAAAAAAAATAATAATAATAAAAAAATACTAACTGTTGTAACCCAGTTAGCAGAAAGTGTACGAAAAACATAATATCGAATTTATTTAATTTTTACGTTTTTCGAATTATTTCCTTTTTTTGTAGCTTACTTTATATATATGTACTATATTTATTCATTTATAACCGAATTTTTTTTTTAATAAATTTATTTGCCATTTGTGATTCACTTAAATTTGAAAAATTCCAATCACGCTCGTATTTTTAACTGGAAAATGACAAGAAAAATGAATACAAATTTTTTATTATGATTTTAATTAAGTTTTCCACACCTCAAATGCGTATGCAAAATGTTTAATTATTTTACCAGTATTATTATTTATTTTTATTTTTTTTTTGCATATATAAACGATTCACTCCTTTACCCATTACCTTTCTTATTGTCAAGTCACTTCAGATTGCCTTGTACTTTACGGTTTTAACAATCAAAAAAATTATATAGCAAAAAAAAAATCTGAAATGAGGTCAAGTTTGTAAAAAAAAAAAAGATTTTAGCAATCGTTTCACTTGTCCGTGCCCTTTTCAACAACTCGTACTAATATTTAATTGCATGCCTGCTGTTATTCCGATGACTGTATGGGTAGCTGCATGCGTTTCGAGTAAATTGTGTTCAGTAAAATACTACGAAAAAATTTCAATGGCACTTGGACAAAAGTATTACGCTTTTTGAGATAAGAAACTAGAGTAAGAATGGCATAAATAATTTTATTTTCGGAACAAGCAAAGAGTAAATATAAACAAATTTTACAAAGGTCAAAGTCGAATTAATTTCGGATAACTTTTTTGTACACAAAAACAAAAAAATTAAAAAAATGTATCAGTTCAAAATATACCATCCACGTGGCTACAAATATATAAATTCGCATACATACATAAAACATACGTCTTTAGTCTTCTAAGTTCATAAATAGCAGCGAGCATTTCGCAAGTAAAGTTAAAGTCCAACCATTACAACACATGCACACACATTCCCTTCAAATAAATGCTTTACTACTATAATATTTACACCATTTTTATTAATTTTATTATTGCTTGGTAACTGAGAAAATCCAAGTAATTCATATGAAATTAAATTCCAGCATAAATTATCGACAAAAACAACTTACCCTACTCCCAGTGATAGGTAAGTATGTATGTATGTATGTTTCACTTTTCCCCGTTGATGTGCTGCTGAAAAGATACTTCTGTTCTCTATTTCTTTTATTGTGTGTCACAATGTTTAGTTTTCTTTCTTTAATTTTTTTAATTATTAAATTGAAAATTATTCTGCAATTGTTTGTTGTTGCTGTTTTTTATTTTTTTTTCATACACTTTTCATTGTCTCGCTCAATTTTATATTATTTTATTTAACTAACTGACAGTTTTAAGCGAGTATTATTGCCTTAATTGAGGTTTTATTAATCCACACACTGTGTTTGTATGTGTATGCGTGTAGATATGTATGATTGTATACTGTAAATTAAGGTGACATATGCAAAATTTAATTAGAATAATTAACAATAAATTTATGCATTGTAGGTATGTATCGTAGGTTGATATGTGCATATGTTATGTTCGTTTAAAAAAAAAAATGGAAAAAGGTCGCTAATGTCAGGGTTGATATTTGCTCACATGTTTGGGTGTTGCGTGTCTTTATGTTTAATTTGCTTACGTTTTTTGTAACTATTTTTGCATGGTTATTATTATGTGTGGTATACAGATAGATAAAGAGGTAAGGCATACGAAGAAGAAGACATGCGAAGGCGATTCAAAAGAAAAATAACTTCCAAAAGTAAATGCGGCTTAAAAACCATTAATTTTTATTTTCTTTTTCTTTTTATATTTTATTTCATTATTATTATTTTTTTTCATTTGTACATCTTGACTTAAATTATTAATTTTGAATCAATTTAGTTTTGAATGAAATAACACTAAAATTATCTGATTAAACTTAATTGAACTTTTTTTTTTTAATTCATTAATTTTTTAAGTTTTATTTTTTATTTGGTTTTCTATTGTTTTATTTCCCTTTATTTATTTTATAACAGTTTTCTATTTTATCCTAATATTTTTTTTTGTTTATTTAACTGCATTTCATATAATTTAGTATTAATTTGTTTCATTATATTTTATTTTATTATAGATTATTTTTTCCGATTCTTTTGTTTTATATTTTTAATTCTTTATTTTTTATTTTACCACATTTTGTTTATATTTTAATTTTATTAATTTAATTTGATATCTGTTTTATTTTAATTCATGAATTTTAACTTATATTATTTATTTTCTATCGTTTTTTTTCAGTCTATTTAACATAATTTAAACGAATATTATTTAATTTAATATTTGTTTTATTTTAGTTTGATTAACTTAAGTTTTATTTTTTTTTATATAATTTGCGCTTTGTAACCCGTGAAGCGCTTTTTCGGCCGAGGTCCTCCTCCAATTTGATGTTTTTCCAACAAAATGTAGGAAGCTATAGTTTATACTAAACCGCCTCCGAACGCCTGAAAGATTTTTATGAGGAGCTTTATCTCATGTCAGGAACAAACTCGGATGGGTAGACATTCCCTGCTGAGGGCACCGGGATTTGTACGCGAGTCTTCCGAATGGCAGTACACAACGCTAACAACTCGGCTACCGCGACCGCATATTATTTTATTTTACTTAAATCAATTTAATTCTATTTCATTTATCAAATTTTATTTTATTTTTTTATTTATTTAGTTTACTGAATTAAATTTTATTTTATCTTAATTATGTTCATTTCATTTAATTTAAAATAATATTTAATTTGATTTTGTTTTGGGTTTATTTAACTTAATTTATCTTATTTTTTAAGATTTTTTTAACGTAATTTTTTTTTTTTAATTAACTTTTGTTTTACTTTATTTTAATTTGTTTGGTTTTTATTTAATTATGTTGTTAGTTCATATTTTAGTTCATAATTTATTGACTTTTTTACTACATATAATTTTTTAATTATATTTTTTTTTACTTTGCTTTATTTTATTTTGTTTTATCTTATTTTATGTTGTGTTATTTTATTTTCTTTTACAAAATTATTATTTATTTTATATTATTTTAATTCTATTTATTTATTTTACTTCTATTGACCTTTATGATATGTGTTTTCTTTTTAATTCATCGTTTTTTTTTTTGTTTATTCCAACTTTGTTCATTGACTTAAACTTTATGACTCTTATTAAAAAAAAAATTTCATTCAATGCAATAAATACTCAAAATATATTGAAGCAATTAATCTTGAAAGCAGTAAATATTTGATTTATTGAATAAAAAAAACATTTTAAAAAATGTATAAAAGGCGCCGTAAAATTTGTTTAATACATTATATTTAAATTTTCGAAGTAATTACAATTACAAGACTTGATATTTAATTTTTTTCTGATTTTAATTAATATTGTGCATTTGCAATATATTATATTGTTAAATAAATTTATTGCTTAGTTTCTTAACTTGTTTATTTCATAAAATAAACTTGATTAAAAAAAAATAATAATAAAAACATATGTTGATACAAATAAACATAAAAAGCTTTCCCAATAAATTTATTTGAATTACACAAAAATATTTGCAAAAAAAATTTGATTCGTTTCATAATTTTTTAGCATTTTCTTTAAATACTGAAACAAATTTATTTGTCTCTTTTTCATCACGCTGATTTATTGGCTGTTGTTAGCTGTCGATTTATTACACGCTTCATAAAAAAAAAATACATGAGCAAATTAATTTAAGGGTAAAAACTGTATTTTAGTGTTTCTGTTATTTATATTTTTTGCGTTCACTTTAAATTCTTTTTAAATATTCAACATTGTTTCCAATTTATTTGGGGGAATTTTTGCATTGTTTTATATTTCACCTTTCACTTTCAACTCAGCAATGTTTGCACAGTATGATTTTATTTTTATGAAATTTCAACACACAAAATATTTGATACTCATATACATACATACACGTATATATTATTTGTTTTTGGTATTTTTGTATTTTTGTTTTCTTTGTCAATGTCAAACACGCCAAATTTTGTGCAGCACAGCGATTACACACACACACCCTCAAGCTGAGTTTGTGCAAACACGAAAAACAGGCAGTTAAATGTTTCAAAATTCAGAATGTTATAAACAAAAAAATGAACACACGAAATTCTTGCAAGAAAGTTTCGACGACTGCAGCCAAAAACCAAATGTCAACGAAAGTCCTTCAACGCGTACAAAAATCTGGCGCAAGCAATGATCATTTCTTTTTTATTTTAGCATTTTTTTTTTTTTATTTCACATACATTTTTGTTGGTATTTTCAACTTTTATTCCTTATTTTTATTTAACTGGTGTTGCACATCTTTTGACTTTTTATATTATTCTTATAAAATGTTTCTTCGCAATTTTCTACACCGCCGAGTGTCTGAAGATTTCATACGCGTCTATCAGGCGGTCTGGCCTGGTTGATCTTTTTTTTTTTGAAATTTTATTTTTACTCAAGTTGAAAACACTTTAGAACGGCGACGCGGCGCGTTTCAAAAGCGACAATCGACTGACTGCGCCAACCATATGTCGCCGATATCAATGGGTGTTGCTGCCACTACATATAAATGCACATGTATGTACATACATACGTTGTTGCGGTTGCCGTGTTGCGCGAACAACAACAGCAACAATAACAATAGTGAGACTGACAGCAAAAAATACACCGAAAACGAGCGAAAAAACAATAAAAGTCAAATGTGGGGATCAGCGGTATGAATTTTTTTCTTTTATTTATTTTCTGTTTGAGTATTTCTACTGAAAAACACACGCAAAAAAAAAACATATGACAAAATGTTTGCGCGCTTGCCGCTAAATTCGAGCAGCATCAACGTGCGCAACTATCGGCAGCAAGCAGTAGCAAAAGATTCGAGAACAAAAGAAAAATGTAAAAACAAAAAAAATTTATTTTGTATTCGAAAAAATCTGGCGACAAACAAATATGTTTTTTTTTTTTTAAAATCACACATTTTTATTTTCACTCAAACTACACTTAAATTATTGCTTTGGGCGAGTGTCACTAATTTTACCGTCAATTTTATTGCTATTGTTGTTGTCTTTGCTCGTACACCAAAGAGCAGATTTCAATGTGAAATTTGCAAAAAAAAAAAATAATAATAAAGAAATAAATCTGAAACTAGAAAAAATCAATTTCGAAAGAAGGCGAGAGCGCAACAAGTCAAGTGGGCAGCACAGTGTTCAAATGTACGTTAATAATGCCAATAACAATATTTTATTTTCAAAAATAGCAAAAAATTGTTAATATAAAATACGTATTTTTTTAACACCTCAGCGTACCGTTAGTAAAATACACAATTTTTATTCATTCTCCATTCATTTTTCGCCACGCAACAATTTCTATAATTTATACAATTTGCAAACGTTACGTTGGAAACTAACGCGTGACATACTACCAACACCGGCGATCGACAATAACGAATAGCGCGTTGGAATACTTCGCAAACTTACCGGATCGCAGAGCACACACACAATAATCGAACGATCGAAATGTTAAGCAAAGTAAACCAAAAGCAAGCAGGCAAGCAATTCACGCCGCACCAACCGCTCAGCACGAAAGCTCTTCGACAAGTAAACGCTCAAACGCCAAAAGCAAATCTAAGCAGCAGCGCCAGCCAACGAACCGTCATACATACATTAAGCTAAGCCCACAAGCGGTAGTAGATACTCACCGCTGCGTCGCTGCGTCGCTGCACACAAACAGAGAAATATATACTTTATTGAAAACGAAAATGAAAAATAAAAGAAATACTCACTAAAAAAGACAAATTAGCCGCACTCGCAGCTGGAACAAGCGGACAGTGGCAAACGCACATATGTAAGTATGTATATCCATACGAGTACAAACTTACAAACGTACAGATGACAGAGATTCATGTCTGTTTGTACAGCAGCAATGGCAATAAAGCACGGGCGTTCCGCTGAATGATGGCATGGCGCACACAATACCACCGGTGAGTGAGCATACAACTACACGCGGCACATACATATACTCGCTCTCGCACACAGCTGCAGTGGCTTTCAGCGATCCTCCACCCTGCATCTCTAACAGCTTACCTTAGTCCAACGGTACGCTAATGAGGTAGATAGTAAGCCGCATTCGTATGTCTCTGCTTTTCTCCGTATCGTTGCATTGTAAAGCCCTGCGTGTATACTCGGCAGACTGTTGTGCACATGCACATACTAGTACAAAGCGGGCGGCAGCTGAGCGTTGGCGTAGCCAATGGCTATAGAGGCACAACAACAGATAGCGCGCTGTAGCGAGGCAAGTCGGTGAGGTGGTCGCAAAAAATGTGCCGTGTGCTGAGGATGGGTTTAAATGGCACTTAAGCCGATACCAATGTATTCTCTTACGTTTAGTGTGCGTAAGAGCAGAGAGCGAGGCAAATACTCACACACGTAATCGTATATGGCTACCCAAAGGGGTTTAATGACAGCTGAACAGGCCCGTAGGAACGAAAAGGTGTTTAATTGGTAGCGCTTGAAAGCTTCAACACGTGCTCCTTGGTTGCAACAAGCTCGCATAATGTTTATTCGATATGAAACTATAGACTAAACCTAAAAGGAAGCTCCTTATGTTTGTTATACAAATTTTCGGTCAGTACATAAATAATAAAGATGGCTTGACATTCTCTGCCGAGGGGCTACCGCAATTGGAAAAATTAATTTTGTTTTATTTCAGATGTTAGTTGAACAAGGATTCCAACCTTAGCCTTCCGAGAGTCAGTACGTAATGCTAACCGCTCGCCTATTGCTACTGCTGCCAATTATAATTTGAGGCTACCAGAACACTGCAGCATTTTCCAAGCAAAACTAATGGTAAACTCACAGAATGGTTCCTGGGGTCTCTGGTTACAAATCGATCAATCTGTATATACTCGGATACAGAAACTGCCATCAGTGTAGTTAAGTTACTCCACACTAAAAGTGGTGCTGAAACAAGCTCTCAGCTAGATGCCAAAAAGCAGTGATCTGGACTCCCGGATGTAGAGACACCCCAGGCAACTGTATGGCGAATGAGCTGCCGAAAGAAAATACAGTTCTAAATGCAATAAATTCAAAGTACGTCTTGGGCGTATCCTTTTGCTCCTGACGGACGTTGAAAGATAAAGGAATCAAATAATTCAACAACGGGCATACTAATTAAACACCATTGAATGGGACTTCACGCTAGGAGAATGGTATACATTTCGAATAATTTTTGCGTAGCTGCATGGACAAAGAAGAGGAAGGGAATGTCGAACACTACCTCCGTCACTGTCCAGTCCTAAACATCAAACGCATAAATTTTTAGAACAGCACTTCTTTGACTGCCTGGCAGACATCACATCGCTCACACAAAATGGTTCATATATCTGAGAAGGTAAGAACTACTCCACAGCGGTATCACAACGGGCCTTCAGGCCTGCTCAGCAATCGCATCAACTCAATTCAACTCATTGTTGCTGCTAATGAAAATAAAGAAATAATGAATTTCTTGGCCGAGCGTTCGGATAATGTGCAAAGGCTTCTAGAAACTCCTAAGGAAAACTAAAACAGTTTTCGGAAGTAAGTTTTTTTTATAAGTTTTCGTAATTTCGTGACGGGACTTCCCTCGGGACAAGTGATTGTATACATACAAATTTACAATTGCGCTTTGTAACCGCTGAAGCGATTTTCGGCCCAGCTCCTCGCCGCCACGATAGCCCAGTGGTTATCATAGCGAAGTGCAATACGGAAGGCCAGGATTCGAGCTCTGCTTCGACCAAAATTTTAAAAATTCAACAAATTTATTTAAATACAAAATTTCAAATGGCAAAGAATGTCAATCCCTCCAAGTGTATTTAGGATATGAAATAAAAGCATAGCATGTAAGTCTCCTCATGTGTTGGAAACAACACTGCGAAAGCAGTGATTGGTTTGATTATAATTATCTTAAAACAAATCACACATCTTAAAAACGTATTAAGAAACTGGAACTGAAATTACGACAAAGTCGATCAGTGCAAGTTATTGTCATCCAGCTGTTGACGTACTTCTTAATTAAAGTTATGTAGAGATATTTCTAGGTTAAATACACAATTTTATTAGTGGCCTTATATAATTTTTTATTTTTACCTAACTTGTGCCTTGCCTTATAATCAGCAACTGCTCTATAAGATGCCACTTTTCGTAACACTTTTTATAACAGAGCATTATTTTGTATTGTCAATGCATTTTTTTTCGTTTCCAATTTCCACCTGACCATAAACAGGTATATCATTCGCAAAATCTAGCGTACTCACTGCCCAGTACGTCGGCATGAGTATAAGGCAGCTTTAAATAAGCTCCACTCTACACATTTGGAGTTACTCAAAATAGCTCTCTGTGATCAACTAAGTGATAGTGTGAGAAATCGCACAAAAGAGCAAAGAGTAAGACTTTTGAGTAAAAAAATCAATACAAAAAAATATTTTAACTGATAAGATATGTAAATATCAATGGTTACATGCTACATACCTACAAAGGGAGCTTAGAAGGCGGAACGTGCATTATTGTGAATTATTTAAATTTGACTTACAGTATTTATTTCTCATACTAATTCATTTTAAGTTTCTTTTCATTGCAAAACAATCTCACCTGTTAATGTAAATGATGAAGTCTTAGGTAACTTTCATACTCACTTGCTAATTGGGAGCTTTACAAAGCCGCTAGTATGCGCATATGTATATAGATACAGGTGTTTAGCTGTATGTAAGTATTATATAGATTTTTCATATTTGAATTACATACTATTCAATTTTTTTTTACTACCGCTGCCTGTACCTATATATGTATATATATGCATGTGTGCACTACTCGTTACACTCCGTGTTCTCTCGTTTTGGTGTTGCCTAGTGTGCTAAAGAAATCTAGAAAACACGAGCAACACTTTGGTTAGACTCTAAAGATTATCTTATCAGTTTGTAGTTTTATTTGCATGTGTATGTCTGTATGTATTCTGTGTTTGCAAAGACTATGTTTTGATAAATGTATATGTGTGTATATATATGTAAACACAACACAGAAGTATATACACGAGTATATGTATGTAGTTTATTTATTTTGGCGCTACTCTCATTGATAAGATATTTCTACAGTTTGGAACCTCAACGGTAATTCGTTTAAGGTAAAATCAGAAAAATTTACAAAATTTAGCGATATTTACTTGTTATCAAAATTATACAGAAAATTTTTAGCAGTTTTTTATTTAATTTGTTAATTTTTCTTTATTTTCTTAATTTGTGATTTAAACGAGAGAAAGAGAAAAAATCGCATAAATTAATTCCTGTAATTGGTCACCCATGTACATATGTATGTATTTAAACTCATGTAAGAGCAAATACAAATCTTATAAAGTTTGTAATTAATTGTTGAACCGTTTTGCCAACCTTTGTGGTTTAGATAAGAGTCGTCTTCAAACAAAATTTATGTTCTTAAAAAATAATAAGTTGCATTTTTCTTAACAATGCCTTAAAGTCATTGAACAGTATTCGGCACAAAAAAAGGATAACCAAGTATAAATAACAAAAAAATTAAATTATGTTAAATCAAGTTAATATAAAATAAAAAAAAAACAAGATAATAAAAAAATAAAACTATAAAATAAATTAAG